CAAATGTAAATCATTCCCATTCCCTACGTATTACATTAGTAAGATGTAATTTCCACTCAGACAGCTTCTTCCCAAGAACTGCTGCTTTGTGGAACAGATTCCCAGCAGAATGTTTTCTCAATGACTACAATCTTGACCACTTCAAGTCAAGGATTAACTGTTATATTTCCTGCATAGCCACATAAACTGCACTTTTTGCCTTTTCTTATGCTCATAAACACCTTACAGTAACCCTCTAACTTGAGTGGCTCTAGAGCCTTGTATTAGAAAATATATATTTTTATATATGGCAAATATTTTCTTTCATTGATCTAAATTGTTTGTCCATTTAAAATTCTAATTTTATTAGACAATATATTTAATTTTATATATAAAAGGCATAAAATGATTTGAAAGGGCTACACATTCCAGCTCATAATCTTTTCCTTTTGTCCAAGACAAAATGGAAAATTAACATTTTCAAATTTGATGTCCATCTAAATTTCATTCAAATTGTGTTTGTATGTACATTTGCATGTGTGTATGTATATTTTTAATTCTATCTCAGGCCTAAAAATATTACTACAATATTTTTCTTAAGTTTTTAAATAATTACTATTCCTGAATAATTTCTAAAATGATATTTTTTTTAATCATTTCACCCCAAGCAAGGGGGTAATGCCACTAGAACACGGGGGGTTACAGGGAGTGAAAGAGAATGAGAAGACATGAGTATGGGGAGGATTGAGGAGAGGACAAAAAATGAACAGAGTTCAAGAAGGCATAAGATGGCAATTGATATTGCATTTAAATTGTTGAAGATTGTTGTTATCAAGGAAGCAAAAAAGTAGAAGAGAGTTACACAGGTGGGTAGTGTAAGAAAAAAAAAGCTTTTAGAGTAAAAGTGGCAGTTGTATTTAGCTATTTCGTCAGTGGGGCCTAGTTGCCACTTATAATTATTCGGCACTTTTTAAAAAATAAATAACCTTTTTTTTTGTCTCACTTTGATTTTATTGCTCAACCCAGGGTAGAGATTGTTCTGACTGAGTAGGAGGGAAATGTATTATTTTAATGTCTTATTTCAAACTGCTTGTGTATATATTAAATGGCACAAGTATATGGATGGATGGATGGATGGATGTTGGATTTAACGGCATGTCAACTCCTATTACAAGTATATGTAAGTTGCTGACACACAACATAGACATACACATTGCATATGTTAAGTCACATGCAGACTGTGTGACAGACAGAGAATCAAATCTTTTCTAATATAGATTTATAAATAATAATGAATTTTAAAAAAAACCTTTCCTTGTTAAGGCTGGCATCTTTTCAGTAACCCTTCATAATTATAGTTGAAAATGGTAGTATATAAATTCATTGCAAGATGATTTTATTATTTAATTTTTATAATGATTTTCACTTTGTACAAGGCCCAAGCTTCACTCGAGGTAGAGGGTTACATAGTAAGAGGCACAGTTTATGGGGACATGTGGGGAAGATAACAGTTAACCCTAGAACAGGTTAAGATTGTAGTGATCGGGGAAACATCTTAGGAGTCGGTTCCACAAAGCAGCACTTCATGAGAAGCTGCTCAAGTGGAACTTACATCTCACCAATGGAATATGAAAAGAATGAGGGTGATTCACTACAACATGCATAGCATAGTGGGTGTTGTAATGTACCAAAAGAATGTGTTGAGGTTGGAGAAAACATCTAACCGATTGCTCTCCCAGTAACAATCAGGTAATAGGTAGAGAGGGGAAAGAGACAGAGATACCAAAATAACACTGCCTCAGAAACCACAACAAATTTAAGTACAAAATACCTAAAGGACCGACTTCATATGATACCATGTCTTGCCAACTGCTGGTTTTCCTGTTGCTTTTATTGGCATCAGGCATCTTACAAAAATCCAGATCTTGACCAGTTGCAGAGAGGCCCATATCTAGACATGCCAAACTGTTCTGCTGCCAATGAAAAAAACCCAGATGGCACTGACAAGCATATCCCTCTGTGATCCGGGGCCTCTTTTGCATCGGTATTGACACATATTCACTACAGTGGGTCTTAGCCGTGCAGGTTAGAACTGGTGGAACTTTATAGACCTCTACAGCAACTGTTTGTTCACAAATGCATTAAAAAAAATAGTTTTAAAGCATAGATCTATTTCAAATAATTTTCTAACATACAATTAATATTGTTTTAATTTTTTTATTTTCTATTAACTTTAATACTGTTAAAAGAAATTATTTTTCTCTTAATTTAAATTTTAATTGCACAAAAAGCATAATTCTTACAAATTAAACAAAAAATGGACACTGCTTAAATTCATTGCTGGTAATATAGTCACAGCAAAAAAGTCACAAATCTATGGTGGTTAGTAATAAAATCATAGGAAAAAAGTCACATAAAATTTATTTAACCCTGCATTAGTCACATGGGATGCTTTGTTACTCCCCAAATTTTTAAAGTACTCATAATTCCTAGTTGGCAACTGTGGTGGTAACACAACGATTCAACTGATAATAGCAGATAGGAACAAAAAATTCGCAAGGAGGGTAACCGACAAAAAACAGTGTCACACGTCCAACCTTCTCATGAGCAAAAAGCCCTCTGATCAGAAACAAAAACATGCCTGCTTTATACAGCCGAGGACCGACCACGATTTGCATGCAAATGACGAGACAACGAGATTTCGCGTTAACTCTCAGAGACCGCTTGGCATAAAACATGGGCGCTGCCATTTTGGTTCCTTTTACCGCTGAGCAAACTGGAGTTTGCACATCACACAGATTCGCAGGCGTTTCTTTTGCTCCTTCCCCTCACTACTCTCTTGACTCAGCGACGGTGTGTAGCACACAGTGTGACACAGATGTAGCTCAGTTGTTGTGGGGGACAGATGTCATTTTTGGAAATTCAAGGTGACTAAGATAAACAAGTAATAAAACAGAAAATATTTTAAATCAGTTATTAACAGGTAATACATGACTATATAGTGTTTATAGGTTTTATTCATATGAAGTTGGACCTTAAAGAGTACTCAGGAATCCTAGCGATGTAATATATCGAAGAAGCAATCCTCTATATAAATCTAAGTTTAAGGCCTAGTATCCTTTCTCAAATTAATTAAAGTTTAATTAAACTTTGTCAATTACAATTCTGATTAAAACTGAAACTGACATTAGACATTTTATTAAGAATTGTTTTTTAAAAGTTTTAATTGATTTAATATTTAAATTTAATTGTAATTAATTTTTTTTTTAAATTTAGTTATATATTTAAATTTATTTGTTATTTGATTTAATATATAATTGATTCATTTTGTCCTCTGGAGGTCAACTGACCATCCATTGTTTGTTGTTACAATTATTATTGAAAAACAAACAAAACCCAATAAATCCAAGACTACTCTACTGAATTTGACCTTTCTTCAATTACAGATCAATTCAGAACTCGAGCAAAATTAATCTGGAGTTACTTCACAAATAAAAAATTTACTTAAGTATGTAATTCGGCATAAATTATCTTCATATACAGTCCATATCATTTGCATACATTTTTAACACAAACTTTATAAGACTTTATATTCTTTTTCATTAAATCCAAATATTGCTGAGAATTAAGAATTCAATAATTAAACTTTCTATTAAAGAAAGATGCAGAAACAGTGCTAATACTCTCCATTTTTTTTTTCTTGGATTCCTCAAATTAACTGGCCTACACAGGGAAGACTTTAAAAAATGTAAATGCAATGTCAAAGTTTATCTTCTATCTTCTTAATGCCTGTTCTTTTATGGGCATCTCTCTTTAATAATATTTTCTTTTCCTCACATTCTCTCACACTCAGAATCCTTGATTCTTAAAGAGTTATCTGTACTTTGTGTTTATTTACAAATTTGAAACTGTGCTTGCATCATTGATAACTGCATACTAGTGATGTTTTCCTTTCCCCTCCGCCCCTAATTCACAATACAGCATGCAGCAGAAATACTGCCCACATAATGGTAAGATATTAGCTTGATGAAGACACCATTGCCACTAATGTCTTACCATTATGTGGGGGGGGGTATTTCTGCCACACCCTGTACTATACAGTTATCAATGATGTAAGCAGTTTTGAACTTGACATTTATAAATAAAAAAAAAAAAAAAAAAATTGATGTCAAAACGTTTCTTTCAGCAGTCAGGGAGTGATGTGCCACTGTATTTATAGAGTCCGCCAAAAAAATGTATACATACTTCAGGAAAGGAAAAAATTGTATAAATATTGTAATATTCAAACATCACAAGATTAATACAAGTTACCTATGGACTCTACAATCACAAAAGATGCTTGAAATGGTAGCCTTTAGCTTCCAGACATTTATTAGTACGGCGAACTACTGCTTGGGTAATGTGTGAACTACTCCAATGCCATAGCCAAGAAAGCAGCACTTGTTGCTGTCAGAGGTCTGCTGGATTTTCCTTTATACACATCACACACAATATCTTGTGCTTTGAATTTATCAATTTGAAATTGTCAAACGTGTTGGAAGTTGTATCCTAAACTCACAGCACCACTGTCTTTGGACTTCAACAACATTCTCAAATTTGAAATACTACTTTGAAATAATCTTACATTCCTCAAATGACAAATGCTATATGCTGAGAAATACCATACTACAGTAAACAGTGTTATCACAATTTGATAAAATTACAAAAGACAAGTTTTTCCTTTCCTGAAGTGTATATACATTTGGGGGGGGGATTCTGCATTTTTTACAGGCTCCAGCTTCTAGAATGATAAAAAAAAGAAAAAAAAAAGAAAAGAAAAAAAATCAATATTTTCCAATTCTGAGAAATGTTGAGGCTAGAGAAAGGTCTGATGGATGCTAATGTATAAAAATTGTTAAAAAAAATTCTTTTTAAACAGACCACTTAATTTAAATAGTTTCAAAACCTGTGTCATCAAACTAAATCTTTTTACCTGACTGAGAAGACTCAGATCCTTGAGAAAACGCCCCAGTGTTTCATACATGTCAGCAATCCCTGAGATGTTAATGTTTAGATTTGACTGGTTCAGAACTGAAGATAAGAAAAAAAAAATGAATTATTATATTTGAAAAACTAATAAGCAAAAAGTACATGGTGGAGTAATGGATAGCGGCTCAGATTAAGGAATCGGAGAGCTGAGTTTGAATTCCATTCAAATCTATTACATTCACTTACGTGCTAATACCCTTAGGAAAGGTATGAATCCTCTTCTTCTCCACCCAGCTATGGGTAAATAGCAGGACAGACTGGGTTCTATAGCCTTGGATGGCAACTGGTCTACTGCAGAAAAAAATGGCAACCTACTGCAGGAAAAATCTGCCTCGTCAATCATGTATTGAAATATACATGATCGCCCACATGTGTATCACGCATGGCACATAACTGACTGATATAATAATTCTGCTTGTCCATTACCAAAACACTGTAAAAATGATACAACATAAGTAGTCCTGTGATTACTTGAATATTGAGACATTTAAAAAGAGCAAAACACCAATTCTCATTGGTATGTTGCTGTTCCAAATGTTGGAAAAGTAATGCTTTTTTGAAAAATTCCTTTGAGTTTTTTCTTTCTTGGGAATTGTAAGTTCTTGTAGTTAAATGAGGTTCTATTCCTCTGACATCATTCATTCAATACCTTTTGTTCAATCTGCCATTCTTGAGTTTCACACACATCACCAACATAAAAAAAAATCTCCTCTTCTCCCTGCTTCAGCCCTCTTATCATATCAACACCACAGCTTACTAACCAATTAGAGCTTTTCACTTTTGTCCTCAGTTACCCAGGGAAATGGCCTCCTCCAGTCTGACCAATCAGCACACGACTTGCTATTGGTCAAACCACGCTAAGTTGTACAAAAGCCACTATTACAGAACATACACTGTTGGAATACTCCAACATGAAGAAGGGAAATTCATGTCATTTTCAAGGAACAAAATGCCGATGCTACATATCATGTGTTGAGGTAAGGAACTTATTTTCCTTTACAGCAGATGCAAGCCACTCTGACTCACTTGCTTCTATGTAATTTTTCACCACAGTTCTATAAAATTGGTTGCAAAACAATGTAGGTAAACATTTTTGGTAAAGACCTTTTTATATTTTGCTGTAGAGCCTAATTCCTTTAATGAAGTTTATGATGTTACTTGGATCAATATTTTCAAATAGGTCCTTAAGTTATCCAATTTATAATATTTGTTTCAGGTTTACTGAAAGTTATAGCAGTTTATTAGTATGTGTTTAACAGTGTATGGTTCCTGACATGGGACACATATTGGCAGTTCCTCATTTTTTAGTAGATGTTGGTGGGTTATGTATGTGTATCCTACATGGAGTCTGGCTAGTAACAGCTCATCTTTCTTTAACTTGACTGTCTTTCACTAATGATTGGTTGAATATTATGTAACTTTTTGTTTTGATAATTGTTCCATAATTGCTGCCATTTTTCTTTGATGGTCCTGTTTATGGTGAGTCAGAAGTTGGTGTGTGAAAACTTTACATTTGAGAGGGCCATGTTCAGCAATTCCTTTACCATTTTGTCAGTTTTTCTATTTCCTTGTATGCCAATATGGCTCAATATCCAGCATAAGACTATTACAGCATCTTTCTTCCAATAGTTTGATGAACGACATGACTTACCTCAGAATTCGAAACGAGCATGAAAGTGTCTTACCTTTAAAGTGATGATGAAAAAGAAAGTTGTTTAAGAAATTAATTGAATTGGGCTATTCCATTCACCCATCTATCCCAGGTTGGGACCGAAGAGGCATGCTGTGGAAAAATCTGGCCATTTTATACCAGGTCAGGAGTCATTCACTCACCAGGAGTCCATCTCCCTGCATCATGGGTCGCCACCCACATCAAACAGATAGTCCCATTGAGTGGGATTTGTAGGAGTGGGAATTACATTTTTTTTATATGGACAGGTAATTTAGGCATAGCATTTTCTGTAAACAGATGTTTGTGGATTATGATTTTTGTTGGTTGTTTAAAGCTGTCTATTTTATTTTATTTTATTTTTCCAATAGATCATATGGAAAAACTATATTTTTCCTGAAGGCATCATCTTAGATAAAAATGGACAGGATGTAGGCTTAACATATAAGCTGACAGTATGTAAGTGAAGTTTTCCTCATACAAATAATCACCATATTTTCCAGCTTACAAGACGCACTTTTTTTACAAAAAAATACCCTGAAAAATACGTGTGAGTCTTCCAAGACAAATGTAAGGCAACATCCAGGCTCAAGTAATCTTGGACGGTCACCTAACTGGCTTGATAGATAGGGACGTGGATTTGTATATTGAGTCCTTACACTATAATTTTAGCTATCTAATTCAGATTTTTATATGGTGTAACCTCAGTATTTAGCAGTTACAAGTATTTCCAAGACTATAAACCTTCCTGGAGTCAAGCCATAAATTTAAACATGCTCTGTTTACAAGCAGCAGCAGGAATTTTTCTACTCTTGACTAGTATGCTATTGCCATAGAAACAAAATCTGACAAGTAATTACTGTAAACAATACATGGCGTCAGTCTGTGAGGGATGCATGGTAAATGTGTTGTCATATGAGAATGACTTTTTTTTTTCTTAGATATTTCTTTCTAATATTAATAAGATTATGTATTCTTTTTTGTATTGTACGAATACTTTTTTCCCCCAGTAAAATGGATAAATGGGATTTATTTCTATTAGAACACAATTTTTTCTGTTTTCTATGCATATTTAGTTATTATGCATCTGTGTACAGTTAATTATATGAAAAGTATGTTTATTCATTAGTTGGAAATACAATTAAAAATTTGTATGCATATGAATATTTGTTTACCCCCGCCCCTATATATCTGAATATATAGTTCAAAAGGAATCAAAAAATACATTTGAACATATATTAAAAACAACAAATGATATATATAAATTTAAACTTGTGAATTATAGACTTTTGCCTAATTATTTCATTAATAATGGTATATTGTTTTAACTTGTCGTTTTGAATCTCGTCACCAACTGATATGTCCCGGAAAGGAATATATTTGTTCGAAGTAGCAAAGTGGTTGTTGACTACTGTAACCGGGTAAGACAATCTAGCAGGTAACCGAAATGGTCTGGTCCTCGTCGTAGTAGTAGGCAATAGGCGTTGTCCCTGTACCTCCACATCAGTCTGTATTTATGGCTGACACCAGCCAATCATATTACTGTGAGGAGGAACCCAGGTGTATGCATATTCATTACATCATATATAATAGTTGTTTTTTTATATTTTATCATTGTTCACATGGTAAACATAATATATGGATATTGTGCATGCATCCTGTACTCAAGTGATTCGCTCAATGATACACAAATCCACCACATACAGGAGGACCTGTCCACTAACCAGTGAGGGCAGTTTCACACTGAGACCATATAGACATCATTAAATACATTCCCTATGATTATTATAATTTTAAATAATATAAGAGGTTGAAGCCTTTATTATAATAACAAAAGTTATTCCAACAATATGCCATATGTGTATAGTAAAATTACTATTATAAAATTAAACAAAAATTACTCAAAAATGCATTAGCCTATTTACAAGTTTCTCACAGAACCCTTAGCAACTTATTGCAAAACCCTAGGGTCCCTGGGAACATTGGTTTAAAAACACTGTTACAGAGGAACATTTGTCAGAACAGGTGATTCTCTTTTTTTTTACTGATAATGTCTTTTTCTGATGTTGTTATGACATTTCTACTGGACTTGAGTCTAAATCACTTGAAACACTGTTTCTTGTGGAACCTATAACAATCTCTTGCAGAAGCCTAGGGTTACTGGTTGAAAAACACAACTTTATAGCAACAAAGTCTGTCACCAATTGTTAACTGATCCTGCAACATTTTTCTCTCTTCGTCTATGTTTCTGACTGAATAACATTTCCTCTTGTTCCCTCATGGTAATCTCATTTATTGCATTTTTCAAATCAAAGGGAATAACTTATATATATATATATATAATATATTGGACCTTGGACATATTAAATAAGAGAAAATTAACCTATTATGGACAAAAAACAAAAAAAAAACAAAAAAAAAAAAACAACTGACCTTGAAAAGTTGAGAAAATTAACCTACTATGGACAAAAAAGAAAAAAGAAAAAACTGACCTTCTTCCATGTACTTTGTCTGGGTAAGATATGCCTGGGCCATCCTTGTTTTATCAGCTCCTATCAATTGCCAATAGGAAATCAGTTCAGCACAGCGCCCCCTAAAAAAGCAGAGGAGGATGGAAAATTAGACTGGAAAGTGGAATTAAAAGAAATGGAAAATTAAACTGGAAAGTGAAGGGAGTGGAAAATCAGATTAGAATAAGAATAAAATACAAAAGCTCATTCCATATATTTTACAATATCTTAAATCAAAGAAAATTTATTGCTCAAAAATTTATTTATTGACCATTCCATATATTGTATATTAATTGATTCTTAATATGACAACAAAATTAAATTGACATGTAAAATATATTTAAAATATATAAATTACAATATATAAATTTTTTTAAAATATTCATATTCATATATTTTACAATATCTTAAATTGACATTTAAAATTTTAAAAAACATTCCATTTAACAACATTTAAATATCTTAAGTTGAAAAAAAAATCAAAAGAATTCATTCCATAATTGACAATATTAAAAAATAGAAAAAAATTTCATTCCATATATTGTACAATATCTTAAATTGACATGTAAAATTTCTCGCTCATTCCATATATTTTTTATATCTTAATTTGATATATTAAACAATATAAATCCATGAATTAATTATGTAAAATTAAAATTTTTAACTCATTCCATTATATTGTACAAATCTTAAACAAAAAAAAAAACATGTAAAATTTACAAAATCTTGAATTGAAATCATTCCATATATTGTCATACAATATATAAACATTAATTGACATGTAAAATTTCTCGCTCATTCCATATATTGTACA